GATCATCAATCACCCTGAGTGATGCCACCCACCCATCTGTGCCATCACGACACCTACTACTCTCATCCGGTACGGATCATCAATCACACTGAGTGATGCCACCCACCCATCTGTGCCATCACGACACCTACTACTCTCATCCGGTACGGATCATCAATCACCCTGAGTGATGCCACCCACCCATCTGTGCCATCACGACACCTACTACTCTCATCCGGTACGGATCATCAATCACCCTGAGTGATGCCACCCACCCATCTGTGCCATCACGACACCTACTACTCTCATCCGGTACGGATCATCAATCACCCTGAGTGATGCCACCCACCCATCTGTGCCATCGCAACACCAACTACTCTCATCCGGTACGGATCATCAATCACACTGAGTGATGCCACCCACCCATCTGTACCATCACGACACCTACTACTCTCATCCGGTACGGATCATCAATCACCCTGAGTGATGCCACCCACCCATCTGTGCCATCACGACACCAACTACTCTCATCCGGTACGGATCATCAATCACCCTGAGTGATGCCACCCATCCATTCGGAACTGATCTTCTCATCCGCAGCGCACCCCAGTCCCTGCCTCAACTGAAACCCGCTCGGCCATTCATTTCACGTAAATAATTTCATCCGTGCCACCGATATTGCTCCACCTGTACCACCACAATCCGCCGCCGACGACGATAACTATGATGCCGTCTCCCGCACGGGTGGCGGGTTTATAATAATCTGTGTCGTTAGCTCCGGCGAGAACACTTTGTGCGGACATTCGGATTCAACTTAAAGACTCTGAATGGTTGAATACTGTGACCTTAAAAGGAAACCCGACATTTTAAACTGTAAAGCGATTATTAAATCGTGACTTAAAGCTTTCGTGACCACAGGAATTCATATTCTTTGGGTCTTTCGGTAAAGTCACGTAGATAGGTTCAAAGAAAATAAAAAGCTACGACGTTTCGATCGCAACGCAAGCGGTCGTCTTCAGGAAAAGGGGCTGAAGACGACCGCTCGTGTTGCGATCGAAACGGCGTAGTGGTTGTTTTTTTTTGTTATTTTCTTTGAACTTATCTACGTGACTTTACCGAAAGACCCAAAGAATATAAAGCGATGATTGTTTACAACTTTACACGCATACACGGTGCGATGGTGGTTGTATGTGTGTGTCTGTGCGTTGTTAATCGATTAGTTTATTAATGTAGTAATTTGATTAAAAAGCGGATGCACGTTTTCGATTCGATTATATAAAGAGCGATTCATCTTCTTTGGTTCTTTCGGTAAAGTCACGTAGAATGAGAATAAAATTATAAATTGATAAAATAAAATAACACAATTAAATTCTCACGACGTTTCGGCCACAACACAAGCGGCCTTCATCAGGTGAAGGGACGAGACTGTCTGGAGGACAGCGCTGGAGCTAACAAAGCCACGCTCAGATCGCGACCTTTAAGCTGTGTGAGAAGAAACAAAGCGCCTTGACAAAGGAATTAGCATAGAATTTGTTTCTTCAAGATCAGTTAGACAAGACACTCTACAAATCACACTTATCATTGACGGCAATAATGTCCACATCGGATTGGGAACATGTAGACAATATGACTGCCTCTTCAGCTGCTACTATGTCGACCAAATGTAAGGAAAACCTGATTTCCAAATTTAACCTCCTCTTCAACAAAAGACCGGACCCACACACCAAAAAGTTAGACGTTAATAAAGTCGTAATTAATCGCAGTAACAGTTCTATTTCCGATGGTCTGAAATCCGTTTTAGCTAAAGGTCTAAACTTTGCAGTCACACCTAAACACATACCAGTTAATGATATCATTGCCCAAGTAGACGTTGCTCTCAGGGGCCTGGGTCACATCGCTCCAGACGTAGCAAGATCTGAAATCGCTGCAACCCTCAAAAACGCTAAGATGCCAGCTAGCAACCTCAGCAAAGATGAGCGTTTTGAATTATATAAATTAAAAAAGAGGAATGATATTGTAGTTCTCTCAGCTGACAAAGGCAATGCTACTGTCATCATGGATAAAATAGAATACAACAACAAAATTAAAGAATTACTCGACGATGGTAGTTATACAAAAATAAAAAGAGATCCCACCAACAGCCTCGTCACACAAACCAACAAAATAATTTCTGATTCAACCGCATTAATTGATCAATCTAAACAGTTTTCGTTGAAACTTTCTGCTGCCAGGCCACCAAGATTATACGGCTTACCAAAAATACATAAAGTAGATACACCTCTTCGTCCCATAGTCTCTACTATCAGCTCCCCCACCTACAAACTAGCTCGTTTTTTGTCTGAAATCCTGCGTCCTTTCACTGGAGAGACCACCTCTGCGGTACAAAATTCTATTCACCTGGTATCAACAATCAAGGGTATTTCCCTGTCCCCAGACGACCTGCTTGTCAGTTTTGATGTAGTTTCCTTATTCACCAAGGTTCCTGTACCTGACACCATTGCAATCATTGAAGACTTGGTTCATCAAGGACTAAACACTGAGGTACCCCCCCTGGTGAGACACTGTTTAACCAATACATACTTCACTTGGAATGGAACTTTCTACAAACAAACTGAGGGCACCCCAATGGGCTCCCCCCTTTCTCCAGTTATAGCTAACATTTTCATGGAGAAATTTGAGACTGACGCCATCCAGACTGCCACTCTGCGCCCAACCTTATGGAAGAGGTACGTGGATGACACTTTTGTCATCTGGCCACATGGCCGGCCTGCTCTAGACCAATTCTTCGACCACATCAATTCCATACACCCAGCCATCAGATTTACCATGGAAGTCGAAATAGATGGCAAGATACCTTTTTTGGATGTCCTAATTAAAAAGAGACCTGATGGTTCAATGAGCCACTCTGTCTACAGGAAAGCTACCCATACGGATGCTTATCTGAAACCGGATTCCCACCACCATCCATCACAGAAGAATTCTCTCATCAAGACTCTGTATCATAGAGCCCAATGCATATCCGACCAGGAACACATAAACAGTGAACTCAAGCACGTACACCAAGCTCTTAGGGCTAATGGTTACTCCGACTATACAATCCGCAAAGCTATCACTCAAACCATGAAGAAGAACCCTCTTGAGGAGCCTTTCAAAACCATCACTTTACCCTACATTGCTGGGATCACAAAAAAGATCTCCAAAATCTTGAATAAACACAAGATCCAGGTCCGTTTCAACACATTACATAAAATCCGTGATCTGGTTCCGTCTGTAAAAGATGTGATTCCGGACATACAATACCCTGGTGTCTACAAACTAAGTTGCCTCTGTGGTAGTAGTTACATTGGAGAAACCAAACGCCATGTCTCGGACCGCATTCGTGAACATAAAGCAGACCTTAAACACGGTAGGACCAACACCTCGGCCGTAGCAGATCATTGTTCTAATTCAGTAGGCTCACATGCCATTGACTTTTCCAAGACGGAGGTTCTTTGTAAGCCATCTGGCTTCCATGAGAGATTCGTTCATGAGGCTATCCACATATACAAGCACAGAGACAATTTCAACCGAGAAGATGGATTCTATCTTAGCAATCATTGGAAAGATTTGATAAATCATTTCAGTTCTTGATTGATTGTTCACGCTTACAGTGGCTTTCAGACAGCATACATTATAAAAAATTTCGTCTCCCCCCTCCTCTTTTCAAAAAAATAGATGGACTAGTCCTGGGCAAACTGCCAATCGCTGCGCGTGACGCCAACGTTTTTTTTTAATAAATAAATGTGCCGTTTTAAAAATAAATTTATGCAAACCAACACACCTGATGATGACCGTTTGAGTTATGGTCGAAACGTCGTGAGAATTTTTTATTGTTTTATATATATTTTGTTATTTTGTTGTTTCTCTTCAACGTGACTTTACCGAAAAAACTAAGAATATACGGCAAGTTGTCGCTGGAATGCGCGGCTAGTATAGAGATTGAACAGCGCTGGTTGCCAGGGCTGTCCATTGTTCAATCTTCGTGGGCTGCTGGCAGCTTCCCCAAGGTGGACGGTGAACCACCATCGGTTGCTCGGCATTTCGGTGATTAGTCTAATTGTCGGGCGGCAAGGCACGGCTTTCGCAAGCTTCAGCAGGGGTCCATCCCGCCATACGGTATCGGCTTCGATGTGACATCTTAAGGCAAGCACCTGGTCGCGACCATTTCGACCAGTTCTCTAAATATTTCCTCAAGCGTGGGCATCAGCCTGTTGAGCAAAAGCCGCTCTCCATTCGTTTGTAGCAGGCTGCTGAGTAGGGCGGGAGACGGGGCGGGAGTTTTGAGCGTCCGATGCGTCCATGCCTGGTTTCAGAATGGCTAATTATCCTCGCCTCTTTCCACTCCTTCGGAACGATGCTTGTGGAATGGATGTCAGTGAAGAACGCGGCTAGCCATTGTCCTGCTCTCGGTCAAAGCTTCTTGATGAATTCTGGATGAATAGCGTCAAGACCTGAGGCTCTCCCGCATTCAGGCAGCCCGGTTAATCCGCGCGCGTGTGTGCTGTTAATCGATGCGTTTATAAACGTAGCGAGTCGATACAAAATTCGGACGCTTGTTCTCGATTCGATTATTTTTTTTAAAAATCGATTCTTTTTTTCTCCGGTGAAAGTAGCCGCCTATAATGACCGGCTGAAGCGTTGGCGGTTGAACCCATTACAGTGCAAACACGCGACACAAGACGGAGCCGAACTCATCGATTTTTAAACCGCTCGAATCGATTCACGTTATCGATATCAATCATCGACGCCGAACGCTTTCGCTTCGCGAAAAAAAGAAATCACCGCGTGTAATCTTCACGACAGTATTTTTGTTTTGATTTAAAGCTTTCGTGACTGGAGTGATTCATATTTATTATTTTATTGTTTCCCTTCAACGTGACTTTACCGAAAGAACCAAGAATATAAGTATTTTTATTGTTGTTTTTCAAAAACCGACGGCCGTCGTTTGACTTTACGACCTTTACGGCAGGGGGGCTTATTTATTTATATAAATTTTCTTTACGGCAAACGGTCGCCCGTCAGCTGGCGCGTTGCCCCTGGCAACCCGCGGGCGCGCCAGCGTTCGAAAGCAGCGGGCCATCAGCCTCACAGATAATGAACACGTTAACAATTAATTAGCTCGCTAATCAACTCGATAAATTAGCGCGCGAGATGTCGCGCGAGGTGACGACGGCGACGTCGCTGTCGCTGAGCGAGCTCGACTCGGAGGATCTTCTGAGCTTCGAGAGCTCGGGCCCAGCAGCGGAAGCCGCCGCCGCTGCTGGGCCCGAGGTGAGGGCCGCGCTTCAGCTGTGTCGCGTGCGGCTCTCTCAGAGCAGGCTAGCAGTGGAGACACTGCAGGCCAGCAGGGACGTGCAGGTGAGGAGGCACCGCGGAGACACACGGGGAGATAGACGGGGAGATACACGGGGACACAGGGAGACACGGGGAGATACACGGGGACACAGGGAGACACGGGGACACAGGGAAGCGCAAGGTGAAGCCACACGGGGGCACGCAGGGACTTGCAGGTGAGACGACACGGTGAGACACTGGGACACACAGGTGAGACGACACGGTGAGACCACATGGGGACACAGGTGAGACGACACGGTGAGACACTGGGACACACCACACAGGTGAGACTACATGGAGACACAGGTGAGACCACACGGAGACACAGGTGAGACTACACAGTGAGACACGGGGACACACAGGTGAGACCACACGGAGACACTGGGACACACAGGTGAGACCACACGGAGACACAGGTGAGACCACACAGGTGAGACCACACTGAGACATAGGTGAGACCACACGGTGAGACACTGGGACACACAGGTGAGACCACATGGAGACACAGGTGAGACCACACAGATGAGACCACACGGAGACACAGGTGAGACCACACGGTGAGACACGGGGACACACAGGTGAGACGACACGGTGAGACACGGGGACACACCACACAGGTGAGACCACACGGAGACACTGGGACACACAGGTGAGACCACACGGAGACACTGGGACACACAGGTGAGACCACACTGAGACACTGGGTCACAGGTGAGACCACACCGGGAAACACAACTGTGCAGAGTGCATCTCTGCTGGAACAGACTAGTCGTAGAGATCCTACAGGCTAGCAGCGACATACAGAGGAGACACGGGAACACACACAGACACGTGGAGATAGGGAGGAGACAGCTGTGCAGAGTGTGATACTCCCAAAGCAGGCTAGCAGAGGAGACCAAAGACAAAGCGCCCCCGTATAGCCTGACCAGACTGTTGGGGCAAGTGGTGTTATCGAGTAGCACCTGTGAAAGCCTGCACGGCACACGAGGCGGTGGGTGGCCAACACCACGCCCGGCCGCCTTTGCCTAGTGATGATGTTTACACACCGCACCAGGTATTCATTTTAGGCCGAGTCGACCTAGGGGAGGCCCAGGACCGGTTCAGATAATCATCAGCCGTGTTAGCCGTGAGCGGGTATCGAACTCGGGTCGCCGAGTTCGTAGCGCAGCGCGCTACCCGCTGCAACTACCACAGTGGAGAGACCCTGCACACACTCGCACGCGTGGCTGTTTATCCTCGTTGAGTTGTGCAGGTGGAGGAGCTGGAGGAAAAGCTGAGCGATGCGCTGAACGAGAAGAAGCTGCTGCAGGCTCGCCTGGAGAGCCAGCTCCAGCTGCAGGAGGAGGAGGCGAGGTACCGTGGTGGAGTAACCTCCTGGAGACCCCCTCGAGACCTCCTCTCCCCGCTCGCTGTCGCCCAATGCCCTCGTGCCCAGTGCTCCCATCCCTACCGCGTGAAACTCCATGAGTGTGCACCGAGGCAATTTTATGGCATTCGGCCCACGAGAAAGCACTCATTAATTGGCCGCTGACATCGTAATGTATCCTGAATGTATAGCAGAGAAATGAACTGAACTATTTTTTTATTTGAACATGTAAAGCCCGCTGAGCTGTACGGCATATATCTTTTTCAGGAAAGCGACCTGGCCACAAATGATAGCCCAACGAAGTGGCTTATCACGTGGACATTTATACCAGCCAAATACTCAAAACGCGTGACGTTGATTTTAAATGTGGAAGGAAAAACCGGAGGAGGACCCGTAGGCAAAATCCGCGCGACCACGGGGAGAGAGAGCGAGAGAGACGTGCAAACTCCAAATATACAATGGGCGTCAGGGGTCCGGATAGAGAGGACCGCAAAGCTTGAGCAATTGTCAGCTCCGGCTCACTGCCTGGCTGCTCCTGCTGCTGCTGTCGCCTTCCTGCCCGTCTGTCGTTCCTCCTCGCGCCTGCCGAGTCGTTCGTTGTACGAGAGCGCCGAGTGAACACCGCGCGGCGGCAGCGGCGGCCCGAAGTTTTTCCAGAAGCGACGGCGTCGCGCCGACCCAACGAAATCCCTCACGCTGGTGCCCGCGCTCGCGCCCCTTCCCGCCCGCCACCCGCCGCAGGGCCCGGCAGGAGCGCACGCAGCGGGAGGTGGACGCCATCGTGACGCGGCTGCGCGAGGTGGAGGAGCGCAACCGCGAGCTGAGCGACCGCGGTGGAGCGCTGCGCCGGGGCCTCGTCGACCTCGAGCTCACCCCCGAGCAGCGCTCGGCGCTCGGAGCGCTGCCCGCCGAGCAGCGCAACCTTCGCGAGCACATGCAGGTGCCGAGATGACGCCCACCCCCCCACCCCCCGCCCGACCTCCCCACTCTCGCCGCGCCCTGACGCTGGCCGCCGCCGCCGCCCCGACCCTAACCGTGCCGTTGGCCGTCTCTCACGGCGGCAGGTGCTGCTGTTCGACGCGGTTCACCCGCTGCGGGAGGAGTGCAGGAAGCTGAGCGAGCTGAAGAGCCGGCTGGGTGGCGAGCTGGGCGCCTGCCGGGCCGAGGTTCACAGCCTGACCCAGGTGCGCGCGCGCGGGCGGGCGGGCGCCACGGCGCGCACAGCGGACGCCGGAGGAAGACGGCGGAGATACTTTTTCGTGGGCGGGGGGAGTGGCGGTGCGGCGGTTAACGCCCCACGCTCCGAGCCCGGCGACCCGAGTTTGATTCCCGCTCGTGACCGATAACGGTGCCGAATATTTAAACTGGCTTTAAATGAGTATCTGGTGCGGTGTGTGAATGTAAGCGCTGGGGAGACAAAGGTGGCCAGGCATGGTATTGGCCACCGACCTCCTTGTGCGCCTTGCCGGCTTTCATAGGTGCTACTCGCAAAGAGCACTTGCCCCAACAGTCTGTTAGAGGCTATACAGGGGATCTGTTTCCGTGTGTGGTGAGGGCTTGGAGGATGAGCGGCGTCGCCGTGGCGACCTAGAGACCCGTTGCCAGCGACTACTGTTGGAGCTCGAGGACGCCCGGCAACAGCTGGCCCTCGGGGACCATCGCCGTGACAACTACGACCGTGTCAAGAAGTGAGCACACCTGCATACAGGACAAAGACAAAGTTCCATCGTATAACCTTTAACAGACTTTTGGGGAAAGTGCTGTTAGCGAGCAGCACTTATGAAGGCCGGCATGGCACACAAGTGGGTGGTTGGCCAACACCACGCACGATGGCCTTTGTCTCCCCAGTGGCGATGTTTAGACACCGCACCACGTGCTAATTTCAGGCTGAGTTGACCTTATGAAAGAATAAGCTAATAGCTCTGTTGGCGTTAACCTGGTAAAATAAAAAAATGTTGTAGTTAGTTAGTTGCTTACCTTTCCGATACTTTGCAATCCTATCATGTTTTTGTGTTGTTGTAACTTTCTGACACGCCCCTACCATAAACATCTGTGAAAAAGAGCTTCGTTAGCTCGTGGGATTCCTCCTCCATAATAAATAAACATTGTGATGATACTGTGTAGCCATGTCCGGTGACGCCGTAGCTTCCTCGTGCCGGCGGTGTCGTCCTCTCGTGCCAGCGAGCGGGACGCGCTGGAGCAGGACAGCGAGGGCTCCAAGCGGCGGCTGCAGGAGCTCGAGATGATTTCGGCGGCGGTCACCAAGGAGCGGAGCGAGCTGGCCTCCGAGGTGGGCGTCCCGACAACCGGTGCCATCGTGGGGGGAGGAGAGGGGCGGGGGGGGGGTCAGGGGGAGACAAAGATGGTCGGGCTCCATTTAGTGTTGTCACCTTTCCTGGTTTTCCCAGCATCGCCCAGTTGTCGAGGGCAGCCGCTGTTCCGGGAAATCTCCGCGTGTTTTTCCTAGACCTGGTTTTGTCACCTTCGTTTTTCCACCTTCGTATGCTACGTACGTACGTACGTTTAACTTCTTTCGCGCCGTACGTAGCCAACCGTGCTAATCGGAGGTGCTGATCGTTCGCCATAACGACAACAGTAATACGCTGCGCCAGACAACGTGTTTACATGCAGTTACCTCCTCTTCCGGTATCGTGAGATATTCTCTCTCTCTTCCCATGATGCATCCTAGCTTGTAGTAGCTCAGCGGTGGCAACCCTAGCGTTAGTGCTGAGCCATACCAGCAGGTGTCGTAATGGTGTTCAGTGCCCATGATAACGGATTGGAGATACCTGCAGCTTTCCCCTTGCTGCTTCGAGATGCTTCGATGTGAAAGGCGTTTTATCAAATAGACTTTATTATTATTGCCTTTGTTGCCATCCTGCTGCTGCAGAAACGTCCGCAGTTTTTGTTCATTTGCTGCAACGCGTGGATTACGGATTGCATGCTATCGCCATTCCCGCCCATCACCTCGGGCCGTGCTAGCACCGCCGTGCGCCGTCCGATGTTCCAAACAACAGCAGCTGCTGCTGCCGCCGTACGACTCGCAGTACAAACGAGGCGGCACCAACCATACCAAACGATACCAACGAAACGGACAGCCACAAAGGGGGTGAAAAAGAACCGGTTTTAGAACCCACTCACGACCCTGCGTCGTCACAGGTCACGGGCACCTCAGGCGACTAAATCAGCGACCTTTCACCCACCAGTGCCTGTTCTCAGGCCGACAGCACGGGGGCGCTGTTTGTGCCATGTGTGCGTCTGTGTGTGCGCGTCTGCGAGTCGACTCGGCCTCGAAAAAGTGCCCGGTGTGCGGTCGTGTAAAACATTCCCGCTCACGGCCAAGAACGGTGACGATTATCTGATCCGGTCCTGGGCCTCCCCTAGGTCGACTCGGCCTAAAATGAGTACCTGGTGCGGTGTGTAGTAAACATCGCCACTAGGGGAGACAAAGGCGGCCGGGCGTGGTGCTGGCCACCCACCCCCTCGTGTGCCGTGCTGGCCTTCATAGGCGCTGCTCGCGACAGCACTTGCCCCAACAGTCTGCTGAGGCTATACTGGGGAGATCTTGTCTGTGTTGTCTGCAGGTGGCCGCTCTGCGCCAGACGGTCTCGCTGCTGCAGAAAGACAAAGACTACCTGGCGAGGAAAGTGTCGGAGTTGGAAGCGCGCAGCTCGGTCGAGACAGAGCGAGCAGAGAGAGCACAGGCTAGTGCTGGCTATCCATCCTATTTACGCGGGCATGTGTGTGTGTTTATACATCTGCCAGTCATCTCAGTCGGTCAACCCATGGGAACCTGGGTCTGTCCCATGACCTCCTGCCGGCAAGCCTTCGACACTTAACGTGATGGCCTCAAAATGCACCTAGCCTGGCACAAGCGCCTTGTTGACGTCGCAGCCACTTAGTGGCGAATGGCAGTTGTTGTGTTATGCATAAATCTGTTCTATAATTATGAGTGTTATTTTGGTTATTTATTTAGCAAAGGCACACTGAGTCAACCTGACTCTTTCTGGACGGTCCTGCCAAGTGTTCGCAGTAGTGGCCGATGATTGAGGTGTACATCTGCGATCACGCAATCTTCCAGTCATGTTTAAAATTTGTCAATTGTAGACCGCGACGCCGGCCATGCACCTGCCCTGCCTCTTGCGAATAGCTTCACGGGATCCTTCACGTCCACTGCGAGTGAAGCAGACGGCGCGTCGCATGTTTATCACGGTCAATACCACACCACCGCAGTATTAACCAGGGCGGCCGCTGGATTTCAAACCGCGAACCCACTCTACAACAAGCGGCGGACGCGCTGCCGCAGGCAAACCGCACCGGTTTCGCGAGTCTGGGTCTCATCAGCAGAGTCAAGCTTGTCAAGCAAATGCTGTTGAGTTAACCAGACGTTCTTGGCAAGAGCCCACAATACACATACCTGTCAGCCCATACGGTTTAACCATATTCTTGTACAGGGAAATAGATTTTTCAGGTCCATACGGCATACAGCCGTTTCGATACAGGAAAAAAATGTTTTTTTCTATTTCTTTGTGTTTCTCCCTTGTGATGGGACTTTGTAGGATGAACGTTGATATTTAGTAGGTACTACTAAATAAGGGCCACGGGGTGACCAATAAGGTCTGAATTGGTCTGTAATAAAGTAGGCACTGATAAAGGGTTTATAGGTATGGAAACAAACTACGGGGCCCTGTTTAACACTAAAAGCAATATTGGAGATAATGGGTTTGTATTTTCATTGAGTGTTTACATTGATTTGCTTTAGGTTTTATCTCTCAGTAATATCCCAGCTGCCCTGTGCTATAATAGAGGATCTCTGCAATCCTGTGTAAGGGTCTGTGTCCCTGCGTAAATACCCATAGACTCGGTGGGCTCTTACCTGGCTATAATATAGGCCATCGGTCTGTACGTAGGTTTATGGGTCTCTATGCAAGTCTGTGGATCTGTCTGTAAGCCTGTGTCCGTGTCCCTGCATAGATACCCATAGACTCGGTGGGCTCTTACCTGGCTATAATATAGGCCATCGGTCTGTACGTAGGTTTATGGGTCTCTATGCAAGTCTGTGGATCTGTCTGTAAGCCTGTGTCCGTGTCCCTGCATAGATACCCACAGACTCGGTGGGCTAATGCCTGGCTCGAGGTCCAACCCTGTGCGTCGTGTCTGTCTGCGGTGCAGGCACAGCTGGAGCTGGCAAAGCACGGGCGTGAAGAGGCGTACGAGAAGTACCTGAGCGCCCGGTGGGTGTCCCAGAACCCCGGCGCGGTTCGTTCGCCGGCGTCCCGGTGACAATGGGCCCGGAGGGTTTCCCCGGACGTGGGCGCCGCGGTGGCGAGATGTGGTTTCAGCCGCGCTGCAATAGATGCTTGCGGATTTTGTTGTTGTTTTTGTTATGTATCCTGTCGTTGGGACCTCGGTGTGGCTTGCCTGGCACAAGTGAGACTTTTTTGTTGTTGTTGAGAAACTGTTATGCGATTATATCGCAACAACAAAAAAAGCCTTTTGGGTGTGCCATGGTGGCTAGGAGATGTTAACTACCTCGCCTGGTGTGCAGGGGGTCGTGAGTACGATCCCGACCCTGATGCCTGCTGTATATTTGGAGTTTGCGCGTCTCTCTCTCACCGTGGTCACGTGGATTTTTCTCCGGATCCTCGGTTTTTCCCTCCACATTTAGAATCAACGTGCGTTCTGAGTATTTGGCTGCTGTAAATGACCACGTGATGACAAGCTTGTGAAAACGAGCTAATAGCTAAATGTGCGTTACCTGGTAAATAAAATAGTGTAGTTGTAGTTTTAGTCGTTCGGTCTCGATGTAGCTCACTGTGTCTCTATGCATCTTTATGGGTCTCTATGCATCTCCATGGGTCACTATTTATCTCTACGCTTTTATATTATTTGGCTGTCGCTATATAGTTGTACACGACACGCCACTTGGTTGAGCTTTTGTGATAGCTGTGTTACTTTTGAAATCGAGCTGCATAGCTCAGTGGGCCTTACCTGGTAAAATAAAATCCCAAAAATAAGTTTTGTGGGTCCCACGTTCTTGCAATGCATCCCAGACAGTCCAGGGGAGCTGTCATCGTTGTCACCGTTGTCATCGTTGTCATCGTTAATTCGGCGAACGGGATTTGCCCCGCTGAGGCTGCGCGTGGGCGCGGTTTCGCGAGCAGGGAGCAGTACAAGTCCGAGTACGAGATGAGGCTGCGGGACGAGATGGACGCAGTCCGCGCGCAGACCAACCAGGAGATGGAGCGGCTCAGGCTCAACGGGAACGAGATCTACGAGCGGGAGAACAGGTGGCGACGCACGCACGCGCGCGTTGTGACGGGAACGGCCGGATCTTTTGGAACTCGCGCGCAGTGCCGCGTGCCGGCGCTGCCGCCGCTGTCAACGCACGCCGTCATCCCGAGACGGTTCATCGCGGTTGACGTTCGCGTAGCGCTGCCCAAGCGCAAACGCGCCGTCTCCGCGCGGGGGGGGGGGGGAATGCCACCTTCTCCCTGTGCTCGTGAACACAAATCGACTTGGACAAGGGCAGCAGCCGAGGCTGAACTGCACGAGAACGTTCGTGCACAAGGTGGTGGTGGTGGTGGTGACTGTTAACCGGGTGTCGTGGTTGACTGTTGCGGTTGACGCTGGCGACGGTTGACGCCCACCAGGAGCCTGCGGGAGGCTCGTGACGGAGCGATCGCGGAGAGGGACCGGGCGCGCGAGACCGAGAGACAGGCGACGGAGAAAAACGATGTGCTCATGGCACGGTACGGAGACACGCACGCACGCGCACAAGGCAAATACATAGATCCCCCATGTAGCCTTAACAGATTTTTGGAGCAAGTGTTGTTATCGAGTAGTACTTATGAAGGCCGGCACGGTACAACAAGGGGATGGGTGGCCAGCACCACGCCCGGCCGACTTTGTCCCTACCAGGTAACCATTTAACCCTAACCCTCGGTAACGTCCAGAACCATTGCAGACATTCACGATTGTCCACGCACACGCGCGTGCGTATGTGTCACGCATGCAATGAAACGCGTCCGAGTTTGTGCGCGCGCCCGCGCCCGCTGGTCATCGTTACGATCGTACGAGCGTGCGTGCGCGTGCGTTTGCGAGCAGCCTGGCGCAGGGGCAGCACGCGTGGGACACCAAGGCGGCGGAGCTGGGCGGGCAGCTCAAGGTGAAGACGTTCGAGGCGGAGAGGGCACTGCTGGTGCAGGAGGAGACCCAGCGCACGCTAGGCCTCTGCCAGCTGCAGTGCGACAAGTACCAGGCCAAGGTGGAGGTGGGTGACCACCGGAGACGAACGACGACGCTCCGGTCCCCTCTTCAGCCGTACAGCAGATCGGCGCACAGTGCTGTTAGCGAGCACCTACTGAGGCCGGCGCAGCGCACGAGCGGGTGGTGTGGCCGCAACCGCGCCCGGCTGCCTTTGTCTCCCCAAGTGGCGATGTTTACACAGTGCTGCGTCGACCTAAGGGAGGCCCAGGACCTGTTCAGGGCCGGATTAAGGCTTTAGTTGCTGCAGCCCAGGGGCCTCCGCCAGCCGGAGGGCCTCCAGAGGTTAAGTGAAAGTTATTTCAATTGTGAATGCTAAATTTTATTTGTTGTTAGCCTTGTAAAAATTAATTATATTTTTCTTTAGCTTTGTTTTACTTTTTAAAATATTACTGGGGGCCTCACAGTCCCTGTAGCCGAGGGGCCTACACAATCTTAATCCGGCCCTGGATGGTGGCCATGAGTGGGAAATCGAACTCGAGTCAGCGGGTTCATAGTGCAGCGCTAACCGCTGCACTACCGCTCCCCACACACGACACGCCACGAAGACAAAGATCCCCATATGGCCTTCAACAGACTGTTAGGGCAAGTGCTGTCAGCGAGTAGTACCTACGAAAGTCTCCCTAGTGGCCATGTATACACCGCACCAAGTACTCATTTCAGGCCGAGTCAACCTAGGGGAGGCCCAGAACCCTTTCAGATAATCGTCACCGGTGTTGGCCGTGAGCGGGAATCGAACGCGGGTCGCCTCGTTCGTAGCGCTAACGGCTACGCGCACGCACGGCTCACCCGGCCGCCCCCGTCGCGGTCGCCCCGTGTCTGTGCGTGAGCGAGCAGCTGCTCACGAGGGAGTTCTACGCGCTGCAGGCCGCCAGCGAGCGGCGCGCCACGGAGCTGAGCTCCCAGAACGCCGAGCTGCGAGCGCGCGTCGACACGTACGAGCGCCTGGAGGCGGAGCTGGACGACGTGGTCATGCAGTCGGCGCAGAGTGCGGCACTCGCGCACACGGCACTCGCCAACACCGCGCCACACCCAGCCGGCCCTCGTAGGCGCTTGCTGTGAGCGCTTGCCCCCAACGGTCTGTTAAAGGCTACGCGGGGGGATCTTTGTCTTTGTGCGGCGTGCGTAGTGGAGAGCGAAGAGGAGGCGGAGAGGGTTCTCTTCTCGTACGGTTACGGCGCGAACGTCCCCACCACCGCAAAGAGGCGCCTCAAACAAAGGTACGGCACGCACGCCGTGTAGCCTGCGTAGACTGCTGGGGCAAGTGCTGTTAGCGAGCGTCTACGAAGGCCGGCACGGCGCGCAAGGGGGCGGGAGGCCGCTACTACGCCCAGCCGCCTTTGTCTCCCACCAGCACCTGATGTTTACACACCGCACTAGGTGCTCATTTAAGGCCCGGGTAAACAATTCACGAATGCCACGATTGCCGACGTCACTAAGATGGAATACAGCAGCTGGAGAGAGCGCGAGAGAAAAGCCTAAGGGGAGACCCGGGACCGTTTCGGATAAACTCGTCGCGGCCCGACTAAAGTCGAAACCTGGGCCAGTGGGCTCGTAGCGCGGTGGCGCCGACCGCTCCGCTACCGCTCGCGTGCTTGTGGCAAAAACACCGCGGTCGCCACGCGGTCGCCACGCGGTCGCCACGCGGTCGCCACGCGGTCGCAGCGGTAGGGAAGGCGCGCGGCGATCCGCCGGAGAAGAATTGACGGTCCCGCGCGGCGGGGGGGGGGGGGATTACCGCTCGGCGTGTTGTTGCGTTGCAGCGTGCACCTAGCCCGGCGCATCCTGGCGCTGGAGAAACAGAACACGCTGCTCCGGAAAGACCTGGAGTCTCACCAGCAGCAGGAGCAGGCCATCGCCAAAGAGGTAACGCGCCGGGGACGGGGCGCCACCACCGGCGCACCAGGGGGCGCCGTTCGGCAAGCGTGTATCGTATGTTACATGTATGTTGCGTGTATGTTGAACTCCATGCGTACACAAGCGTGTATGTGAAACTTCTTTCGCGCCGTACGTAGCCAACCGCGCCAATCGGAGGTTGCGTGACTGGCGGCAGCGATGCGGTCCGGCGGTCGCGCGCCGCTCGGCGCAGCCAGGCCCCCCCCCCCCCCCCGGACGTCAATCGCAAGAGGAGGGCCGTCGTGTGTGCCTGGTGCCACGGTCCACCTGTTTGTTGGCAAATTCAAAAAGCCCACCGGCGAATGGCTCGATCTGGATCGCGCGTACAGCAACGGCGGCACCCGTCGCCCACGACTGGCGGCGCTTGGTGCCCGTTGCCGGGCGGGCGCGGAGCCGTCTCGTGCCGCACGGGCGCGGCTGCCACCGGGGGTGCCCTCATGCCACGGAGACGCGAGAGTCGCCCGCTGCGCGAAGGAAGCCTCTCCTAGACGGCCCGGCGCGTCGCGCCCCCTGTCGCAGACCCTTTCGACCTTCGCTGCAAAGCGCGGTCGAGGTCGCCGCCGCCGGTCGCGATCGTTGAGCGCCGTGACCCAGCGGCGGCGTCGTTGCGCTGTGTCCCCCCCCCCCCGTCCCCAGCTGGAGAGCGCCAACTCGCTGCTGAGCGGGGTCCAGCAGCCGCACGCCTACCTCGTGGAGCGCCTGCGGGAGCGGGACCGGCAGCTGCGGGACCTGGCCGACAAGGCGGCCAAGCTGGAGGCGCTAGTCGGGTGCGTGCGGCGTCGGCGGGCAAACTCGGCGGGACGTCTCGTGCCGTCCGGGGGTGTCCGCTTCTAGTGTCTAGGGCAGGGGTCGGCAACCTACGGCTCGCGAGCCAGACGTGGCTCTTTTGATGACTGCATCTGGCTCTGCAAATAAATCTTAGCCGACATTTCTTAACATGGTAAGACTTATGTTTAGAAAGACTTGTCATGTTCAGAAATGTCGGCTAAGATGTATTTGCGAGCCAGATGCAGTCGTTAAAAGAGCCACATCTGGCTCGCGAGCCGTAGGTTGCCGACCCCTGGTCTCGGCGGTGGAGACTCTTGCGTGTCGTACGCAGGCAACAGCGAGTGTCCGTGTTGTTGCGCAGAGCTATCGAGGCACCGGGCAGCGTGAGGGAACGGTGGCTGCAGCTGTGCTGATTTCAGAATCGCCGCAATCGGAGTATTTATTTTAATCCGATGAGCGATGCAGCTCTCTTTCACAGATGTCCAGTAGGGGGCACGGGAGTGAGAACGTTTACATCAGCAAACAAAGTGGCTTACCACGTGGAAATTTATAGCAACCAAATACTCTAAAAGGCGTGATGTTGTTTCTAAATGTGGAGACAAATCCACGCGACCACGAGGATCGAACCCACTGCCCGAGTTCGAGTCCCGCTCACGGCCAAAACCAGTGACGATTATCTGAACCGGTCCTTGGCCTCCCCTAGGTCGACTCAATGAGTACCCGGTGCGATACGTAAACATCGCCACCAGGGAGACAAAGGAGGTCGGGCGTGGCGCTGGCCACCCCAACCACCTCTTGTGCTACCATACCGGCCTTCATTGGTGCTGGCGCTCGCCAAAACAGCACTTGCCCCAACAGTCTGTTAAGGCTACACTGGGGTGGGGGTGGGTGATCCTTGTCTGATGCTCGCGCTGTTCAGTGACCTCCGCAAGGAGCGCGCCACCCTGCAGCGCACACGGGACCACATGTCGGCCGACCTGGAGCGACTGCTCAACCAGAAAGAGGTCGGTGACAAATAACACAAACACGCACACACCGGGGTCGAACCGGGAACCGGGAGCTCTCGACCCCCTCCTGGGGGACGCCAGAACAGACCGCAACAACGCATAACGACGCAACGCCCGGTCCACAGATACGAAGGCGACATCGCAGCGATGATGCACTCCGGGGGCGCCTGCTGACGCACTTGTCCGGCTTGACCACCCGAGCGTGAAATTGTATTCGTCGTCGCTCTGCATCTACTTCGGCAGCCGTACGACAAGAAAGAAGACCGCTGACCCGAGCGCTCATTGAGCCCGTGACCCCTGGCCCCGTGACCCCTGCAGGAGCTGGCCGTGATGCGCCAGGTGGTGCTGGCCCTGCAGCAGCGTCGCGGTGCCGGCGACGGAGACGCGGCCGCCGTCCCCCCCGGCGGCGCGGCGGCGCTGCGGGGGGCCCGACTCCCCGCTCCGTCCGTCTCCAGGGCCGAAGGGCCGCTGTCGTCGCCGCACAAGCCGCGGCCCACGGTGTTTGTGAGTTCCCACGCACGCACGCACGCCGATGGCGGCTCGCACGCGCGGCGACGACCCGTACGTACGTAGAACTTATTTTGCGCCGTGCGTAGCCAACCGTGCGGGGGAAGGGTAACAAGGTCGCCTCTCCAGACGTTTGTAGTCGCCGGCCCGGCGGATGTTTTGTTCCCACTCGTGGACATTTGGACGCCGAGGGTTAGTTGGGTTTGGGGGTTTGATTTTTGTGACTATGGTTTGAGTTACGGTTGGGATGAGAAAAGCTGCATTGGTTAGGACGAAGGACCAAAACAGATGGTGGGTTTTCTCCGGGCGCTCCGGTTTTCTCCCACGTGTAAACACTCATTAATTGGCCAATAACATCTTACTGCATAGACAACTGCAGACCTTGTGCAATCGTTGGTAGCGCCGGCTCCTCGCCACCACGTGGCGGCTGCTGCTGCTGCCTTCCTGCTCCACGTCTATGGTTTCTCCTCCCTGCACCGCTGAGTCGTCCCCTCACTCCCTCTCTGAGTCGTCCTCTCTCTGAGTCGTCCCCTCACTCCCTCTCTGAGTCGTCCCCTCCCGCTCTCTGAGTCGTCCTCTCTCACTCTCTGAGTCGTCCCTCTCTCTCTCCCTCTCTGAGTCGTCCTCTCTCCCTCTGAGTCGTCCTCTCTCACTCTCTGAGTCGTCCTCTCTCCCTCTCACTCTCTGAGTCGTCCTCTCTCCCTCTCGCTCTCTGTGTGTGCGATGCCACCAGACGAAGCCCAGGAAGGCGCCGTCTAAAGCAGCACCCACATCGTGAGCTCCTGCGGCGACCTCCCGCTCCCTCACCCCCTCCGCCACGCAGTGGAAGCCGTGCGGGGGCTCCCCTTTAAACCCCCCCCTACGTACGGTGCGAAAGAAGTTCAACATGCAAAGACGGAGATCCCCCCCCCCACCGTGTAGCCTGAACAGACTGTTGGGGCAAGTGCTATGAGCGAGCACCTATGAAGGCCGGCACGGCACACGAAGGGGTGGTTGGCCAACACCACGCCCCAGTGGTGATGTTTACACATCGCACCGGGTACTCATTCGAGGCCGAGTCGACCTAGCGGAGGCCCAGGACAGGTTCAAATAATCGTGACTGGCGTTGGCCGTGAGCGGGAATCGAACCCAAGTCGCCGGGTTCGTAGCGCAGCGTGCTAACCTACACTATCGCTCGCCATATAAATATACAAAAAAAGATCCCCCGTATAGCCTTAACAGACTGTAAGGGCAAGTGCTGTTAGCGAGCACCTATGAAGGCCGCAACGGTACACGAGGGGGTGGGTGGCCAGCACCACGCCCGACCGCCTTTGTCTCCCCAGTGGCGATGTTTACACACCACACCAGGTACTCATTTGAGGCTGAGTCGACCTAGGGCAGGCCCAGGACCGATTCAGATAACCGTCACTGGTGTTGGCCGTGAGCGGGAATCGTACCCAAGTCGCCGGGCTCATAGCGTAGCGTGCTAACCGCTACACTACCGCTCCCCACACACACATACACACACATACATACACACATACACACACATACATACACACACATACATACACACATACACACACATACATACAAATCCTTGCTGCGTGCAGCGTGGCACGGCGGATGCACGGAGCCGTGGCACGCTCACAACCAGCCGCTAGCGCGGGCGGGGTGGCAGTGACGCAGTGGGCTAGCCACTGGTGGTGCCTTACAGCCACAAGGGACCTAAGTTCGGTTCCTGACCAGGGCGCCTTATTGTGTGGAGTTTGTGTGTTCTCCCCCTGTTCTACAGAGTGTGTGAGTGTGGAGTTTCTATGATCTCCCCCTGTTCTACAGAGTGTGTGAGTGTAGAGTTTGTGTGTTCTCTCTCTGTTCTACAAAGTGTGCGAGTGTATAGTTTGTGTGTTCTCCCCCTGTTCTACAGAGTGTGTGTGTATAGTTTGTGTGTTCTCCCCCTGGTCTACAAAGTGTGTGAGTGTGGAGTTTCTATGATCTCCCCCTGTTCTACAGAGTGTGTGAGTGTAGAGTTTGTGTGTTCTCTCTCTGTTCTACAAAGTGTGCGAGTGTATAGTTTGTGTGTTCTCCCCCTGTTCTACAGAGTGTGTGTGTATAGTTTGTGTGTTCTCCCCCTGGTCTACAAAGTGTGTGAGTGTAGAGTTTGTGTGTTCTCCCCCTGTTCTACAGAGTGTGTGAGTGTGGAGTTTGTATTTTCTCCCCCTGTTCTACAAAGTGTGTGTGTAGAGTTTGTGTGTTCTCCCCCTGTTCTACAAAGTGTGTGAGTGTAGAGTTTGTGTGTTCTCCTCCTGTTCTACAGAGTGTGTGTGTATAGTTTGTGTGTTCTCCCCCTGGTCTACAAAGTGTGTGAGTGTAGAGTTTGTGTGATCTCCCCCTGTTCTACAAAGTGTGTGACTGTAGAGTTTGTGTGATCTCCCCCTGTTCTACAGAGTGTGAGTGTGGAGTTTGTGTGATCTCTCCCTGTTCTACAAAGTGTATGAGTGTAGAGTGTGTGTGATCTCCCCCTGTTCTACAAAGTGTGTGAGTGCAGAGTTTGTGTGATCTCTCCCTGTTCTACAGAGTGTGTGAGTGTAGAGTTTGTGTGATCTCCCTGTTCTACAGAGTGTGTGAGTGTAGAGTTTGTGTGTTCTCCCCCTGTTCTACAAAGTGTGTGAGTGTAGAGTTTGTGTGTTCTCTCCCTGTTCTACAAAGTGTGTGAGTGTAGAGTTTGTGTGTTCTCCCCCTGTTCTACAGAGTGTGTGAGTGTGGAGTTTGTATTTTCTCCCCCTGTTCTACAAAGTGTGTGTGTAGAGTTTGTGTGTTCTCCCCCTGTTCTACAGAGTGTGTGAGTGTAGAGTTTGGGTGTTCTCCCCCTGTTCTACAGAGTGTGTGAGTGCAGAGTTTGTATGTTCTCCCCCTGTTCTACAAAGTGTGTGAGTGGAGTTTGTGTGTTCTCCCCCTGTTCTACAGAGTGTGTGAGTGTGGAGTTTGTGTGTTCTCTCTACAAAGTGTGTGAGTGTAGAGTTTGTGTGTTCTCCCCCTGTTCTACAGAGTGTGTGAGTGTAGAGTTTGGGTGTTCTCCCCCTGTTCTACAGAGTGTGTGAGTGTAGAGTTTGGGAGTTCTCACCCTGTTCTACAAAGTGTGCGAGTGTGGAGTTTGTGTGTTCTCCCCCTGTTCTACAGAGTGTGTGAGTGGAGTTTGTGTGTTCTCTCCCTGTTCTACAGAGTGTGTGAGTGTAGAGTTTGTGTGATCTCTCCCTGTTCTACAGAGTGTGTGAGTGTAGAGTTTGTGTGTTCTCCCCCTGTTCTACAAATTGTGTGAGTGTAGAGTTTGTGTGTTCTCTCCCTGTTCTACAAAGTGTGTGAGTGTAGAGTTTGTGTGTTATCCCCCTGTTCTACAGAGTGTGTGAGTGTGGAGTTTGTATTTTCTCCCCCTGTTCTACAAAGTGTGTGAGTGTAGAGTTTGGGTGTTCTCCCCCTGTTCTACAGAGTGTGTGAGTGCAGAGTTTGTATGTTCTCCCCCTGTTCTACAAAGTGTGTGAGTGCAGTTTGTGTGTTCTCCCCCTGTTCTACAGAGTGTGTGAGTGTGGAGTTTGTGTGTTCTCTCCCTGTTCTACAAAGTGTGTGAGTGTAGAGTTTGTGTGTTCTCCCCCTGTTCTACAGAGTGTGTGAGTGTAGAGTTTGTGTGATCTCCCCCTGTTCTACAAAGTGTGTGTGGAGTTTGTGTGTTCTCCCCCTGTTCTACAGAGTGTGTGAGTGTAGAGTTTGTGTGTTCTCCCCCTGTTCTACAGAGTGTGTGAGTGTAGAGTTTGTATGTTCTGCCCCTGTTCTACAAAGTGTGTGAGTGGAGTTTGTGTGTTCTCCCCCTGTTCTACAGAGTGTGTGAGTGTGGAGTTTGTGTGTTCTCTCTCTGTTCTACAGAGTGTGTGAGTGTAGAGTTTGTGTGATCTCCCCCTGTTCTACAAAGTGTGTGAGTGTAGAGTTTGTGTGATCTCCCCCTGTTCTACAGAGTGTGGAGTTTGTGTGTTCTCCCCCTGTTCTACAGAGTGTGTGTGGAGTTTGTGTGTTCTCCCCTTGTTATACAGAGTGTGTGAGTGTAGAGTTTCTATGATCTCCCCCTGTTCTACAAAGTGTATGAGTGTAGAGTTTGTGTGATCTCCCCCTGTTCTACAAAGTGTGTGAGTGTAGAGTTTGTGTTCTCTCCCTGTTCTACAGAGTGTGTGAGTGTAGAGTTTGTGTTCTCTCCCTGTTCTACAGAGTGTGTGAGTGTAGAGTTTGTGTGATCTCCCCCTGTTCTACAGAGTGTGTGAGTGTGGGGTTTGTGTTCTCTCCTTGTTCTACAAAGTGTGTGAGTGTAGAGTTTGTGTGATCTCCCCCTGTTCTACAAAGTGTGTGAGTGTAGAGTTTGTGTGATCTCCCCCTGTTCTACAGAGTGTGAGTGTGGAGTTTGGTGTTCTCTCCCTGTTCTACAAAGTGTGTGTGTGTGTGTAGAGTTTGTGTGATCTCCCCCTGTTCTACAGAGTGTGTGAGTGTAGAGTTTGTGATCTCCCCCTGTTCTACAAAGTGTGTGAGTGTATAGTTTGTGTGTTCTCTCTCTGTTCTACAAAGTGTGTGAGTGTAGAGTTTGTGTGTTCTCTCTCTGTTCTACAAAGTGTGTGAGTGTAGAGTTTGTGTGATATGCTGTTCTAGAGTGAGTGTGGAGTTTCTATGATCGCCTCTTGTTCTGCGTCGGTTTCCTCCAGGTTCACCTGATTTCTTCCCATAGCTAAACCCACAAACACAGTGGAACTGGTATTGGCCACAACATCCGCAATGCTGAAACGTTACCTGCAAATCGCTAAATTGGGATTGCACACAGCAGCAGCAATCACCGGCCCCTCACTCCGGAAACTTGGCAGGACCCTCCTGAGAAGGAGTCTCGAGGCTCTGCGATGCTTCCCGCGTGGGGCTCAGTGCTTCGCGTGTTACTCGATTGTGTCGTCGTCGGTAATGTGCTGCATCCTCCGCCTTTGTGCGTCGTCAATCTTGCGTCGTCGATTGTGTTGCGTCCTCTAATCCACATATTTTGTACAAGTGGAATGTCATTTTTTTTATTTAATAAACGTGCTTTGTATAACAGAAACTTAATATGTATTTTTTTGTATTAATTAAATGTTGTTTGCTTCATCTAGTCCACTGTCCCAACAGAGCGGTTTCATTTAAACGTGCATTGCAGTTGGCGTTGCGTTGTCCGTTACTCAACCATCTGGCAAGGCTATTGACGATTGATTGTCGTCGCTTACTTGCACGGTTTTCGCTCCTCGCTCTCGACGGGAGAGGACGACTCGGAGAGGCGCCACGAGGAGGAGGAGCGGCAAGGCGGTCACGCGGCAAGCCGGCACCACCAGCTGCTGCCCGAGCTTTGCGGTCCTCTATATATCAACCCTCTCCCGTTCCGAATGACGTACGTGTACGCACGTGCGCACATCATCTCAGTCGGTCAACCCGTGGAAACCTGGGTCTGCCCTGTGACCTGCCAGCGGGCGTTCGACACTTTACGTGGCCTCGGCGTGCACGTAGCCTGGCGCAAGCGCCGCGGTGACGTCGCCGCCACTTAGCGGCGAATGGCAATTGTTGTTGTACGTCATCGGAAAGGAAACTAAAATAAAATAACCATATCGGGGCACGTCTTCGGGTCGGAGGATTAGCACGGTTGGCTGCGTACGGTGCGAAAGAAGATCAACGTACATACGAAGATGTACCGAGGCTCCCACAAGGCCGTGCGGGATGGGCGTGTGGGTAGAGTTTCGTGCCGGCTATCATGGAGTGAGGTCGTGTCGCCACGGTTCTCTGCGCCGTGTTCTGTTTTGTCGTCCTCTCCGCGTCTCCGATTTGCACGGTTGGCTACGTGCGGTGCGAAAGAAGTTCAACACGCGGAGATGATTGCGTAATTTCTCCAGGATGTTGCTGAAACTGGTCGGCGAAGAG